AAGTCGAAGTCGTAGCTTACCAAGGGGAGCCCGGTCACAAGGCGAAACACAGGGAAACCTATATATTAGACCCAGACATAGTCAAGATTGACAGGTTGATGGTTGTTTTTGGAGTCCCATGCTCCTTCGGGCGTTAGTGCATCATCCTTTAGATAGTCCGTTTCAAGGATATTGTGCTTCCACTTTTGTTAACACAAGTATTTGCTGCTTCGAACTTCTTTAGGAGCAATCGGGGCATCTGGAAGACCAGACGTGCCTTAAGCTGTGAAGACTATCAAAGCATGTCTAAACTGCATTGTACATTGGCTCAGCTGTGACTCCGCTGTTTTGATTGAACCACCAGCAATCGTCATACAACGAAATTCGAACATACATTGAACTAGCAGCAGCCATACAAAAATTCAGAACGTACACCCAGAGCGTAAGACTCCAAACCGAAGCCGCGCGTTGGTGGAGCTCCGGAAGTTTTATCTCGATCAGTTCGGCATTTCCCGTAGCCAGGATCTCGCATGTTCTTGTTGTTATTCAAACTCATATGTTTTCTGCGCTAGTTTGTGGCGTTTTTTGTGAACATGCAGGTTTACATGACTGTGTGTTGGTTTCATGCCAGGCAATGCTTTCGTTGAACGTCCCGTCTGGGACAAAGGACACGATCGGCATAGGTGTCATGTCACCCGTCTTTGCTTGAGTTATATGCAACTCGTCCAGTCCTATCCCAACTACCACTACCACCGTCGATTTTCCGATGTAGTTGTTGGTCGAATGCCCTACTTGAGTTTTTCCTTCGTGTGTCTTCGAATGATGTCTGTGCGTAAAACAGCAACTTCTCGTTGGCGCATGTACATCCCTGCGGAACGAGAAAATTACCAGAAGTCGGATATCGATGCCTGAAGCACATGGCTTGCCATGTCCTACAGGGTCTTGAGTCTCTATAGCAGAGAGTAGGTGGGGCTTATGTTTTTTGGTTCGAATTCGTATTCTGGTTTGGGTAAGTATCCCCTGCGCAGGTAATTACTTAGGACCCTGTGGATGTTGAGTTTGTCAAACGTTGCTCCTCGTCTGGGCGTGTGCGCTTCGTTTCGTTCATGTACTCCAACAGTCATGTTGTAAGAAAAGCTCTTTGTTTAGGTTTTCTGCAGGGGTTTCATTGCCGCAACTACACTGTCAGCTTTGCTTGCGATCTTTCCAATCGCGTACCGCATGGCCTGTTTGCAGTTTTCTTGCTTTCATGGGCAACAAGGCATTTACCTGCAAATTTGCGCGTGTCTGCCTGTATTAGGGCGTTTGTTCAAATTGTATTGTGACTTGCAAAAGCAGGCAACATACTCCTGTTTGACATGAGGCTAAAGCAACGCATGAGCAAGCCAAATGCATATGAATAATTGTACATGTTGATATTGCGCTACCGTTACTCCTAGAGTTCCTGATGCCGGCGAGCCCAGCATTCCTCTTTGTATGAATCAGGATATCCCTTGAATCACAGATGCGTCCTCAATATGTTGTAAGGCGCATGGGAAGCCCGAACACCAATTGGTAGAGTTCGGCTTACAAGGCAATTTTAGTATAGATCTAGAAGGTTGAACAACCACAAAAACAATCCACGTCCCAGTTAGTGAACATACGTCTATACACGCGCAATATCTCGACTAATCATGACGAACTTTAAAGGCCCATCCAACCCCGTCACATCTTTATAACACCCTTATGAAAACCCTGCCAATCCCTGGCTTAATTGCGCGAGACTTCGCCGTGGCTGGTTGTCCGGGCCTGGGCGCGGCAAGAGAGCCGCGCTGCAGCAATGATACAGTAGGTAGGGGTTCGAAAAAATCGTTGTCTCATCATACTTTGCTATATACCGCACAACCCTACATAGATTCTGAAAATAACTGCACATGCCCTATGTGCTATCCACGCCACCTTGTTGAACCCGCCACCGTTGACACTGCCTTGGGGCTTACATAAGCTATCGGCAGATGAAGGGGGTCGGCATGAAGTCGAGCTTTGAATAGCACAATGTAGAGATTTAGGGTCTGCAGGGGTTAAGTGTCAGTGGGAGTTTAGGGGCTTAGCGTTGAGGGTTTAGAGTTTTGGGTTCATGGAGTGGTCTACTTGCAGACGCTCAGCTAGAGTCAGCGAGAGTGCGTACAATTTTGCCACTCGAGCTGGAACCTTTCTCAGTGCAATTCATACAGTAGGGCCTGCAGCATCGAGGCCTTGAAAACGAAGTGTGACGTTTCTTGTCGTTTTCTGGATATTCTGCACCTGCGCCTATTCTGCTTTTCGTTTCGGGGATAGGCTGTGGGAGCATTCCAGAGGGAGTATTTCCAGGGGCAGGTGGAGTTTGCGACTCCAAGGAACATTGAATGCCAAGAAGACTTCCTTGGGACAGGGGCTTTGGAAAGTGCAAAGTTCTACACTGAAAATGGCTTGCGGATGCGACAGAGTCAGCAAACAGCTGAACCTGAGCGAAAGGCCTTCGTAGTAGGTTGTGGAAACAGCCCCTCGGCATAGCCAATGCATAGGGTTTTGAGTAGCTAGTAACTATTGATATGTTTGTATCTTCCATGTATACCTATGGCGCAGTATGACCCAACTCTAGCATGGAGTGTTTTATATTGCAACAACTAGATTAGATATTAAGTATACATGTGCGGCATATGCGTTAGACCCCAAGCCTTAAACCCATAAACTCTATACCCTGTACTGGGTGAGAGCGAGGACTGTAAAGTTAGTGAAGTTCCTTAATTCGTATATTGTTTTCTATAATGCAGTGGAACCTTAGTTGACACATGGAGCTAACCCTAGCTTCACATGCACTGGTTTGTTTGGCTATGTTCTACGATCTTAAGCATCCGTTTGGCATCCAGTTGATGTTCGGTATGTTCAGCGTTGAGTTGTGGAACTATGTCGTTCCTGTAAGAAATAAAACTTCGTATCAAGCAGTGAGTAGATGTGTAGTGCACAGAAAGCCTATCCAAGGTTTCAACGCTGCATAGTTCAGATCTACTATATACTAAAGGACTGGTCATGGTTGCTTGATCACAAGCAGATGCTAAAAATGCAGGACATGTTCAACCAGTGTTTTGCCAATGCTTAGTTGAAGTTCAACAGTAGTTGCTTGATATGCTCATCTTTTATGAAAATTTCAGTGGTATAAAAAGCAGTATACAAGTACGTACGATACAGGTTATGCATATAGCACCTAATGACCCAACCGTTTATGCATATGTCGTTCGCATGTTTGTCGTTATTGCTATCTCTTTCGCAATGAAGTCAGCAGTGACCGCTACCCACCATGTCATACACCCGTGCATCATATGAGCAGTTGAGGAAAGACTGCCACTGCACCTATTTGAGAGTCTCTTCTCGAAGTAAACATGCTCAAGACTACATTGGCCAGGCGAGTGCCTCGCAGTCGCAGTGTGTACGGTTGGTCTATTTGGGGGAAGGCTCCAACATCCTCTTCCAAGAGCTTGCATGGGACACATCGACGCCCCGTAGCTTCCCCAAAGCGTAGACCCCACACCTTAACCATGACTATCCTTAACTCCCAAGCCCCAGACCCTGATCCCCGAGCCCTTAGCCCCAAAGACCGAAGCCTGTCTGAGAACTGACTACCCAGGTCACCGACCACAGACTGGAACAGCACATGGAATCCAAAAGAAGCCCCAATGTGTGTTCCAAGAAAGCCACGGTTTGGGGTGGCTTCAGGGTTCGCCATGTGCTGCAAACAGGGTTTAGGGTGACTTTAGGATACACTTATAATGCTTGGAGGACGTTGCAAAGCCAAACAGCACCTCCAACCTCATGCATCGTCATAAAAGAATCCAACAGCATGCGAAACCGTACAAAGTCATGTCAAGCAAGCCCACAGCGTCATAGATGCTTGAAGTACAAGGCATATAATATGCTGCATTGAATCCTTATCATGTGAAACCTCAGACAGTCACATGATATCTATACAGTATGTATGCAGCTAGTTCATAAAGAAATGAAACATGTGTGTACATGTCAATGTATATATATATGTGGCCGAGACCTTTAGGGTCTATTTGGCCATTTCCTGTCTACTTATATAAGCACACAAGCCATCACTGCCTTGTAGACGTCGTGGACGATGCAATCCCAACAACAGGGCACTCGAATCTCAATGCAGGTGCCGCGATAAAAGGCACAGCCGTCCGAAGCTAACATCTTTCATTTGCGCAAAAGCTTGAGGCTCAAACTCACTAAATGCTTTGAAGTCATGCGCTGCAATCAGTGTCAAGTGCTGAACCGTAAAGAAGTCAGCTAATAGCGTTCAGGGCACTAACTTCTATCGCCGACCAACATCCCCAGCATTCCACCGGAAGGGAAGAGCACTAGAGTAGTCGTAATAGCCGAGCGACAACCACGAGCTCGAAACGCAGCTAGCACGGACAACTCTCCTTTCACATGGATGTGGCACAAATCTCAGTAGATTGTAGCTAGTTTTTGGCTAGCCCTCCGCAAGGTGGGCAGGGTAGGTACTTCAATTTTTCGTACCCACTGAGAATTGAAGGACTTTATCCAAAATGGTCACGGATGCACAACATTCCTCGCCACTCCAAGTCATGCTATCACACTCCCACACGGCCATGACTGCACATGTCAGCTCAAGCGAGCGAACGATAGCGATAGCGAAACACGTCGTCTCTGGCCGCAACACCTACGATGGTTTCAGTGGGAAGGTAGACGGACTAGCACACATAGTCGTAACCCGCCCAATGTCATGGGATACGAACAATCGATGGTCGCTGTGTTTGGTTTGCTCAGCAATCCGAATTGTGCAAAGACCAGCTATACCGCAGAGCTCAGCCTGATTGATCGATGCTAGGTCTGAACACAACCATGCTGAGACCCTGCGCGCGAAAGGACTGGTTGTCTATAGGACACCTCTGGACACAGACGCAATGGCAGCATCAACTGTCAGCAAGGCGACCTGATTTTCCGCAAGTGGACCAGTCGCGGGATCCGTCACATCAGGCACTTGCCCGCCGGCGGCACTTTTTTTTGATGCCCCCGACCCGAATTTGGTGCTGCCGTCTGGCGTTGAAGGGCGTGCGCTTGATGCACCTTCGTTTAGAGGCTGGCTTCTTTCGAACCCAAGCCTGCACCGCAGATGCCTCATCTTCACGAGCACGAACAAGCGGAAGTTTGGCCTTGTTCTGCGGGCCTTTTCCGTCGTCTTTCTGCTCGTCACACCAGCCCAGCCAGCTGGCCTCTGACCATAAGGGCTTGGCTAGTGCACGCGACAAAATGACACCTTCGGCAGTGACTCTAACGAACGGAAAGCACATTGCAACGTGATGTGCTACCAACTTGCGGTAACGCATCAGACGCAGCTTCAAAAGAAGCGTGGATCTGTGCAGGGAGTTGGCTGTGCGCAACCATGCATTAATCTCAGCGTGAAGGGCCTCGTTCGAGGAGGTCCCACTGGGAAGGAATGCCCTTTCCAGTACAGTCATGCCGTGTCGGAGCCGCAGGTTGTTCCACAACCATTCGAGGCGGTCCGGCGCAGCAGCTGACCAGAGGATCTTAAACACTTCCTTGTTGGCACCGGTTACCTTTCTGCCAACTTCCTCCGGTTTCAAGCTACACAAAGCCGCGAGGCCCCTTATGAATTCACAGCGGTTGTAAAAGGGCACATCGGTGCACAGACTCAACATGTACGCCTCAGCCTCGGCCTTGGGCATAGACTGATGCCATATGTGATCTCGCGCACATTGCTCCTCTTGGCTCAACGGCGTGGGGTTGCTGCCAGTAAAGATCACACCCCAATCCTCGGCGGCCTTGCTTGTATCAATGGCCAGCACCTTGCGCACCAATGATCGCAGCATTCTCGAACCGGCCGTTCGCTTGTTCCAATGTGCGTACTCATACACGATTGCAAGATGGATCGGATCAAGGGCCACGCACTTGAGGCTCGTGCAGATACTCTGTAACATCGAAAACAGCTTCGGAGACGGCTGATCTGTAGCCAGGTACTCGACTTGGGCCAAAGCAGCTGCTGAGAAGCTGAGTTGGAATTGCTCCACGACGTGCTCTGCCTTCTCAGTTGCAAGGGGCACCATCAGCAGAACGGCCCCTGTGCGACCCCGGGCCGTCAAGAGCCGCCTCCACGCTGTGGCATCAGGAAATGGGGCAGCATTTCGAGCCGCCTTTGGTGCCCTATATGACTCCTGACCCTTGAGCTTGAGGCATGTCTTAAGCGTTGCATCCACGCTCACGTACAGCCACTCCTTGTTTTCGAGAAGAACATCAAGCATTTCGTTCATCTTCGTTTGAACTGCAGCTGAGTATGCGACATCCTCAAGAAGTGGCCACCAATGCCGAGTGTGAGTGGGATACAGCGAGGAGAGCTGATTTCCAGCTTCGTGGGCTCGAAGATGCAATCTGGGCCAGGTAGCTCGAACCTGCGCGGAATGTCGGGGTGACTAAGCACGTTTCTGTTGTTTCTGCTCAGGTCTAGAAGCAGCATTAGGAGTCAGCAAGACACCCCGCCTGAACATGATGCATCAGTACCTCCTGGAAGAGCATCTCTGCAAAAGACTTGTCATAGTAGATGTTCCGAACTCGGCGAGCCACAACTGTTTTGCCGAGCTCGGAGACGTTGATATACTCTGGACCACTGGACTTGAAAAGTAACCTGATCGTCTTGTCCACATAGTTGCGAGACGTACAAGGAGGCGGGACCACAGTGGCTGCCATGAGCCGTGCACTCTCTTGAAGGTAATGACAGACTGACAGTTGGAGTCCTGCGGCATGATCGTGCAAAGCGAGGATCACCTTGATCTGCTTTGTGCCAGAGCAAACATATTGGTTGATGTCGGTGTGGTACTTGCGGACATGGGTCAACAGTCCCGTCTTCTTGTTGAAGATTCGAAAAGGGCACAACCTGCATGCATGCTTGCCGCCGACTTTCATGTTCCTGTCGCCTGACTTCAGCTTCTCCGTGTAGACACGGACTTCCTCGGCCATCTTCGCCAGTATACTCTCGGAAAACATCAGAGCCTTATCTTCATCGTCGACCATGCTACATTGAGAAGGCAGCATGGCGGCGGCATCTTCTGCATCTGACCCCGTGCTGTCGCTGGCGTCTGAATGAACCAAAGCTTGCTGCAGCCTGGGCCCGGACCTCTCCGAAGAAGCTGCTGAGGCATGGCTTGCCTTGCCCTTGTCGGGGGCTGCGCGTTTCGCTCCAGCTTGAAGATCCAGCAACATACCAGGGCTGCCGTCTCTCCCCAAGGATTGTTCCCAGAAGCTCACCGCTGTTGATGCATCTATCCCATCGAGAACACACGAGGTGAAGTTCTTCAACGTGAGACGATAGTGCGTCGCACCATCAAGCACTGACACATGATCTCTGGTGGCATTGTACTGTACGGCCAAGCAGTGAGGTTTGCCGTCGTTCTCGAAATGTAAAATGAAGTTGTCGACATCCGAAGCTGGAAGCCCGAGACAAGCGTGGAGGTCTTTCTTTACCATCGTGGCACATGCCCTGTAGGAGCGAAACCCCTGCTCAACAGCGTCAGCGTTTTCCTTTCTGTCCGCCTTGCTGAAGGCTGCATTGATTTCCATTCTACTCTTTGGGGATAGATGCCAAATGGCGCACGGTATGCAATTGCCGTCCTGTAACAATGCCGCTGGCATCGATCTCAAAGAAACCATAGTCTCGGTCTTGGCAGCGATCAAATCTTTGATCGTACTTGTGGTCTTCTGCACAATACGAACATTGAACCCGGTCTTGTCGACGATGGCCTTTTGGCATCTTTGAATGAGATCCGCATTCTGTTCAACGGCAGCCCTGTCGATCCTGACACCATCGAAGTGTAAGGATAGGTGCTTGGGCAATAACGGGCACAAGGCTTCTAGCCAGGCATCCACAATGGCGTCTTCCACCGAGGTCCAGAACAGATGTAGTGTGGACGCCATCGGTCGTTCCTTTTTGGCATCGTTTGCTAGCCTGTCATATTCCTCCGGCAAAGCATTGCACGCAAGCCAACGACAGTAGATTCCCAATGACTGAAGTTTCTGGACGGAATCGTTCTGCACGCCAGCAGACGGGGCACCTCCGTTGAAAATAACGTTGATGAGAGCCTTTGCCTCTGTCGTGGACATGTCCAAGCAGTCGCGTGCGAAAGCTTCCCGATCTTCGACACATCTGTCCAACACAGATCGCAGATGTGTCGGTAGGCCTGGCGTCGGCTCCATCTTGTCGATGAGCTGGCGAAGAATAGTCAGGCAGCAGTTCGCGATGTCCAGGTCGCATGTGTGCTCCGACAAGGTTCTGTGTTGGACTCTTCTCGGCGTACACTGAGCACCTGCTCTTTTCGTATACCTGCGACCTCGAACTGTGCTCTTGTCGACGTAGTGGTACGTTACATCCAGGGAGTGGAAACCGGGGCCTTCTGGAACTGATTCAGGTACCGACTCGGTTTTGCCTGTCACACGTCTTCTCTTTGCCGCTTGAGGCAAATTCATGTAATACTCCAGAGCGGCTTCGTACTCTTTCATCTTCTGAAGTTTCTTCTCCAAACCGCTCTTCTCAGTCTTGGCAGACACACCGGGCCGGCCTTTGGCCTTCTTTTGGCCCAAGGCTTGCTTCAGGTAGTTTATGATTACGCTGACGTTGGATGCTCTCGCGGGGAACTTGTTCATGTACTCAGCCAGGGATGCGACATTATGTAGCTCCTGGAAAACCAACCTGTTGGATCGACAGACGTCGACGATGGTGTCCAATGGTTTCTTGAATCTGATCAGAGGCAACAAGCCTCCAGGCCTTTCCTTATTGGTCTTGGTCGTCTTGAGCATGCCCTTCATCATGAAGTTTTTGTTTTGCAGTTCGTCCCAGAGAGATGTCTTCGGGAGGTTAGGGATTGAACAGGAAAAAACCATTGTCTTGAACTCATAGAAGGATAGAGTGTCCACCTGGGTCTCCAACATTTTCTGCGTAATGGCATTCGTCAAATTATCCCACTCAGCTTTTCCTTGGTCGCGTTCTTCCTGTGAGTTAGAGCCTGCAAGGAGGTTGCCTACGCCTGCATCAATGTCATCTGCCTTCTGACGAATTGGCAATGAACAAGCCGTTCGCATAGTATCCTCTGTGAGGTATTCATCCCCACTGCTCACGTAATCTTCAATGAGCTGGTAACATTGCTCTTTATTGAACTGCAGCTCGAATGCGTGTTGGAGACGAAGCCCTGCAATCGATGCCTGCGGCGACGACAGGAACTTGCTGAGGGACGGATCGGCCACAAAGATGCCGGCTTTCTCATGATCCGGGTGATTACGTAGATATTGCGCGGGGAGAAATCTGGCTTTTGCTTTCCACACCAGCGCACGACGCAGAATGGAGTTAAAGTTTCCGATGTTGACACCGGCGAACATCATCATTCGGTTCAGTTCCAATCTCTTCCTGGGCACACGTCATAAGGCACTAGATACGCTTGATGTGTAAGACTATAAATGAGCTACAGACCATACTCCTAGCCGAGTGGCCATCCGCAGATCGAAAACATTCGCGTGGTGTATCCATAAGGCTTCCTTCCCATGATGCCGTCAGCGCTCATAGTTTTTTGTACAGATCCAAGTGCAGTTTGCGAGAGGACTCCGGGGCCTCTTGTCCCGTAATTACACAACAGCGTGCAAATCCCTCCACTTGCTTGCGAAGTTCCTCGTCGTTATGCCAGACATTCGGATCGAAGAAAGCATGATTGCTTCCAAACATTGCAGCCAAATGCAAGGAATAGAGGCTCTGGCCAACCCCGCCGGGGGATATGCCGATGAAACATCTGTCGATGTTGAGCCCCCTCTTCGCCAAGGCGGCTGCAGCCATGCAGCATCTGAAAACGTCGAAGTTGCACCAGAATGTCTGCGAGTAGAATTTGCGTACACGCTGGACGTTGTCCTCCAGCACTGGATCTTTCAATGCATGTGGGATCTTGATGTAGCAGTCGTTGGAGGACGCTTTTGGAACGATCTTCACTGCCGTGTCAGGGTCGGCGTCGTATCTGACACACAGGTCTTGATAGCACAAGCAGCTCTGTCTCTGGTCAGGCGTCTCGCACCATTCCACCAGGAGGGATATCAGCTTGGTATGCATCAGTTCGGATCGTAGAGCGCACGAGATTTTCCAAACTCTATCAGCAACAGATACAGTCCAAGACTCTGGTCCATCCTCACCAAAATCCTGTGCCACTTGCAGCGACTGCTCTTCCTCTGCGGCATCTTCAGGAGCAGCTGAATCTAGTCGCTGATACTGATCGACATTGGATCTGCCCTTCAGAACATTGGCGGCGCATTGCTCGATAAAAGCTTCATCAGATGGAAACTCTTGTCTTTTGGCCGCAATTGCATTAAGCAAATTCGCAGGATGCCTCTTTGTGCGCGACGGTATGAGGAGGAGAAGGCCTTCAAGACGAGTGCAAAATGCATGCACCCTTCTCAGAACGGTCTCAGGCGGAACCCCGCCGAATGGAAGAAAGGTACCTTCCTCGTCGTAGACGTAGCAGAAACCGTTGTGGACGCGAATATGTCTCTCGCCCTCCATCATCCACAGAAGTCCTGCGCAGTCTGCCAACATCGGTCTGTCACCTATGCGGGCTTGGCAAAGGTAGCCGCCAACAAGTGACAGGCGCAGCAACTCTGACGACCAGGTGGGATGTAGCTCAGTGAGTTGTTCTACACCACGTCTCGTGTTTTGTAGAATACTTTCAGGCGCTTGTAAGGCATCGGCTGGCTCTTGGTCGAGGGTTCTTTGCAGAAGACTGTCGTTGGTTGAGAACATGTCCTGAAACAACTGTGCACTGTCGTTGGCGCCCTTCATGTCACGTCTCTTCTGCATGAACATTGGAAAGCCTTGGTCGGCTGCTTGAGGTTCTTCTTCCAGTGCCAACAGAGTGTCCTGCACAACAACTGTCGCTGTCTCAGGCAAAGCTTGCAGGCTTGACGGACCAGGCAGTTCACCTGCCGGCTCCATGGCAGCATCGATATCTTCTTCTCCAGCCAGATCAGCCGTCTCAGGCATTTGTGAAAAGTCGCATGCTGTCCTCTTGGCTTGTACGTGAGCGCGGCGGTGTTTCATTAACCGGTCGACGGCACTTGTTAAGTCAGGCACATCATCCACGAAAGCCTCATTGCATGAATTTGGATATGCACATACAACTTTCATACTCTTCACTTTCTTGGAGTAGTAACTTTCCAGAATCCACTTGTAGATGTTGAGCTGTAACCGGTAATGCTCGCCCTGACAGTCCGGAATGTCTTGCAGTGGTTCCATCATGAACTTGCCATAGCTGTTGTATTTTTGTTGTAACTTCTCGCTGCGCTTCCAATCTATCAGCACAAATTTCTCGTCGCTTGTGTCAAACAGAACCAAATCTATCGATCCTGCCAGATTCTCTCTGCCTGCGTAGATGGTCCACTCTGATCTGTAGGCGACCAGTCCCGGCATCTCGTCGTGCAGTTCACGGAGAAAGTCTACCGCCATGCTCAGCTCTTTGGTCATAGTTCCAGGGAGTATGTCGGAGCCGTTCATCATGTGCTCAAGCATAGAATGCATCCATGTCCCGGCATTACATGCGTGAAAAGATTTCTTCTTCCAGAAGTCCACGATCTCATTATCCTGAAGCATGATTTCCTGCACGATGTCATCCCAGTTTGAAAGCTCTTCACGAAATCGGGCAAGCTCAGCACAAAGACTTTCAATATCCATGGGCTGGTGCTGGAGAACTTCGGTTAGTCTTTCGCGGGCACTGCCAGGTGCATCGACCAGTTTCAGCAGAATGACATCTACTTGAATATCTGAAACAGCATATTCCCGCCGGGGCCAGTTTTTGCCTGCCTTCATGTTTTGCACAGCCTGCCATGCATCGAACTCTGCGGCATACTCGTGGATCAATGAAGTAACCTAGACAGAACAGCTTGCAAGCTTCAAAAACAGATAGCGCATAACGCAAATCAAATGAGGATCTGGCACTTGTGTCGATCTTCTCGCCATCGATGTAATAAGCATGTCCTTCGGTCTGGAAGCGCAGTCTTGCATCTGTCTCGTGTGGATTGAGGTTGGCCAGTGTGGAACATGACTCCAGCACATCCGTGCTGTCTGCTTCTGGGTTCGCTGTCATCCGAAAGAACGGTTCACCCGGCGAATCGCTCCCGATGACACTGCCAACCATATCTGGCAAGGGCTTGGGCCACACTCCTTAGCACAATGCCCGCGTCTTGCGGGCGGGGAGGTGCAGGACTTAAATATGACATAGTCTGGCACAAAAAAACGGGCAACTATCCTCCAAAGCACCTGCAAAAGCTGAAGCTCCTCCCGAACAATCCCGAACTTCCCTGCGCGGATGGACGTAGCGGCCAGTCGACCAATCATCCCAGTTGTATGAACCGGGCGAGCACGGACCTCGCGCGTGGAAAGCTGGGTAGCGTGCAGCGTGCAGTGAATCTTTGAAACCCCGATTGTATGTTGGAAGAAGATCAGCAGCGAACCCTGTCTGTAGCTAGTCCCTTCACTCACAGAAACACCTCATGCACACCGAATGCACCTAGAAGACGAGCACAACTGCGAAGTGCTGCGAAGATCATGACACACGACCTCATAAGTTCTTTAGAAGTGGTGCCCGCGGCCTGCATAAGCAGATGATCCTCCCAAGTAGTCCTGCAATCGCATCACACAGTTGGGACAGTTTGCCGCCGGCGTCTGTCCGATATGCTGCGAGCAGACCCATGTGCTGCAAACGGGGCACACGCTCCAGTGCGACGGCAATAGCGTGTGCAACTGACGACACACACCACATCTTATTCGGGCATTGAGTTGAACTGCTGAAGGCACTGCGCTGAACTGCAGAAGCGGCTGCCGATGTCTTGCTTGTCCGAAGATCATGAAGAACAAGCTCGAGAGAGGTGGCGCAGCATCACCGTGCTCTCCTTCTTGGAGTCGAGCACGAGCGACACCCACTCCATTGAGCGCAATTGAAAAAACTCTCTGGTCCCACTTCAAGTGTAACCTGTTCGTGGCATTGGGAACTGGTGAACGAATGCTGGCAGACATATGCGGTCTGGCTGGAAAGTCATTGATTCCAATTGACCAGGCAATGCCTTCTTGGAACACATTGTCGACTCGACAGTACGATCGCCTCTGTCCGTTCCACTCCCTGACACCAATGTACATGCCTCGCACAGTGGCTGGCAAGAATACATCAAAGTCGGCGCAGCCCATTAAAGGCCGTCTCGAGCGACAGCCAAAAAGAAGATTGCGGAGAGGAGGGTGCGGCTGCAATGGAACAGTGTCCCAGTGCAGCCTGACAGTGCCTGGTATTGGCGACAGGAGCATGGAGAGCTGTCGCAAGTTGACACATATAGTTCTGGCCTTCGTCAAAAGGTCGACGACGGACCTCAACCTTCGCGCTACCTCCAGATTCGGCTGGTCAGCATTCACCTGCAGACCATTCCAATGCGCCTTGTTACGAGCTGCCAGAAGCATCGCCCGGGATGCCATCGCCCAAGCATGCAGGTAGCGGTAGTCGAAGAAGTATCCGGGCATGCGTCCTAATACCTCGACGGGAAGCGATGTAGCTAACGGAGCTGCAGCCGTATGAGAAGGCAAACAAAACGTAGCTGGAGGCCTGTTGCTTGCACCGCCTAGATAGTCAGTGAACCCATCAATCGATAGACTCGGCGATGCACACAGCACTCTGTGCACCCGCACGGGTCTTGGGCACCGCAATCTCTCAGCGCACGTGAATCTGGCACAGCAAGCCAAGGCATGCGGAGCGGGAACAATCCAGAACCCATCTTCATCAGCGGCGGTAGTATCAACACAGAAACTGATAAGGCGCGCTTGCAGGCCAGAGTATTGCAAGCACCTTCTGGTTAGATCCGTAGGTGCAGCAGGACCTTGCTGGAAAGCGTTGCGATACCGCATGATGAGGATAATCACTTCAACCGGCAATGTCTCCGCAGAGCCTGACTGATGGGCATGACGGCGCCCAGACAGCAACATGTTGTAGTTTTCTGAATCTAGGGGTACATTTGCCTGCAACTAGAACAGAACCTGAAGCATAACGGCAGATAGACATTGAGCTATTTGCTAATTGCACCGAGAGAGCTCTTGCTCGAGCCGCAGGCGGCAATCTTCTCGGTCACGCCGCCCAGGTAGTCTTGCTCGTGGGCCTTTGAAGAGGTGTCTACTGACGTGTCCACGCAAGACGGAACAGTCTGAGTCAACACCGTCAAGCTTTGGCGGATGTCGAACAGATGCTTCTCCCAAATCCTTTTGGAAATGGCAGGATCAACAGGTGATAGCAGGCTGACCGTGCCATCATAATCCAGCAGCTTGATCATTATCCGGGCCCAGGCGCCAACTCTCTTGACGGCGCGGTCAACATCTGATATGGAGTGCACATGTCGGGGCCCGTGAGCAGACGGACGTAGACCAGAAACTAGAATCTGTGGATCCACCCACTCCGTCACCTTCCTGGCCCTGTCTTCGAAGCAGTCCATGAAATGTCGCCAAGTGCGTTTATCGATCTGAGTGTGGAGTGGGTTCGGGAAATGAAGCCATAATCCAGGACAGGTCACCAGCTCCTGAATGTAAGTGAGGGCCATGCTGCGGATATGCAGGATTCTGTGGAAGATAACGTATTGGTCAATATAGTGCACCAGCTTTTTGTACGGCTCTTCGCAGTCAGATGCTTGCATCCTGGGGGAACCACCTGCCTTGTCTTCATCGGTGTCATCATCTGTTCTGTGTCCTGTGCCATGTGCCAAAGGCTCTACGACGAAAACAGCCTCCCAAAGTTCAAGATTCACGTCCGCGACGTCAATGCATAGGTTGTCTTGGGTGCGATGGCTTGTAGTCATATGACAAGACCCGTCATCGAAGACTCTTAACCCGCAGAAGTGATTCTGCGCATACAGAACATATCTTCCTGGGTTCAGCTCGTTGTCAAGTTCAGGGATGCGACGGATGGTGTGCCTCGGACTGCTGAGACCACATCATGTAACGGCAACCATTACAAGCCTTCAGCTGTCTCCCGGCTAGACTCCCATCCAGACTAGGCACTGCAGGGGGGCCAGCATCCGATTGCCATCACGCAGCGCAAAGAATGGACCGTGCCCTGAGAAAGCGACCTTTAACCCCATGGCCCTGAAGGAGTCAGGAAGGCAGGTATCCTCGTAGCGACCATCGCCTCCGATGCGAGACAGCATGCGCCCTTTAAGTTCGAAGCTTACATTCGACATATACGTGTGGATACTTTCGACGCAGCAGCTCTACCCGAGAGCTGGCCTCGGTCAGTCTTCTTGGAAGACCTCCTTGGCTTGCGCCGGGGTTGCCCTGCGAGGACTCTCGAATGAGTTCACTCCAACAGCTTCTTGGGAAGATAATGCGCCTCCAAGGTAGACGTTGAATCCGCTGTACCAAGCTCTCCTCGATATCCTCGTCCAATTTGGGCCATCCTGAGTCGAGCTGGTTGAACGCACAGAAGGACTTCCTTAATGCAAGGGTTACATTGTAAGCAGGTTGCGGCTGCCGGTGTCAAGTGAGCGGTCTTCTTGATGCGTAGGCGACTAGCCACGGCCCACACCAAGCTGTCGCCTGGACCAGGCAGCTTGCAGCTCTTAGCTCGTAATCGACAGGCTACTTACATTGCTGCCGAGCTGCAGGTGCGGTCGCTTCCGCTGAGCTTGTGGCTATAGCCGATATAAAGCCCTGTTGTCTGTGAGAAAAAGCCATGACAATCAATGACTGAGTGAAGTGCAGCAAGGATGCACTGCCGCACTGGCATAGGTGGAAGTCGCCTCGGTATTGTTCTGCACTGCGCTGTTGGTTGGCTGATTCGATGACCACAGCTAACGACGACGGACTGAGCTGCTCACCTAAGCTCGGCCCAGGACTCAGTGGCAGCTGACCTGGGCGATACTGCCAATGAGCTTTCAATGTATGGCTCAGAAGAAGGTAGGGTCTGTGCTCCAGCTTCAGGACTGTGTCGAGGGGGCACCGCATGGTGAATGCACACACCCGACGCCACGAAGGATAGGCATCCGACCTCGCACACGAACGGTTGCTGCGCACTCTCGCATGTTGTTCTAAGGAAGCTGCTCGATTGTAAGGAGCTTGTCCACGGCGGGCACTTCTATCTCTGCAGAGATCCTTTACATGTTTCAGCCACATGGAAGATAGGAATGATCATGGTCTTGTACGGCCTGGGGCTTGGTGTCACCGTGTCCTCCTTGGAGCCGGACCTTAATGGTGTGCTGTGTATAAGTAATGGTAATGCGTAGTACTACTGACAGAACAAATTCTCGCTTTCCTAAGATTCAAGCTCATCAAAAAGCGGGTCGACAGCGGCCGCGGCTGCAGGCCTTGGGCACACCGTAACGATTCTGCCCTCTGCCCGTGGTACAGGTTCTCATATGTCTTAGGCACACACTCCTCCTGCTGCCAGCGGCCGCTATCGTCCATGTCAGAGTGCGACCTGTACAGCACGACCCATGGATCGCAATCAAACAGCTGGCTGTTCACCGAGGCTTTCACGCTCCGGTGGCCGCCGCGTCGATAGGATTTACATGGGTCCTGGTGACTGACTGCGCGGATGTAGTGGACAATAGCACATCTCAGAGCAGTATAAGGCCGGGGCGATATCTTGCTCGAATGCATCTGGACCCTCGACAAAGCCCGTGTGAAAGACTGAATGGCTTTGCATTATTGTATGCTTGCCCGGCCTTACCCATCGGTTTTGATAGGCCACAAAGACTCCTAGCATGCTTTCGAGAACTCACAAATGTGTGCACCCACAAGACTGGCCGAGTGGCGCCGTGACTGCCCCGTCTCGCGAGGGGCGTCGGCGGACCTTGCGTTCAGAGTGGCTGTGCGCACAGGCAACACAATTAAAGATTTGGGCTTGGGGCGTTGTGTCCTCGTCCGCAAACCAGGCGATGGTTGAGAATCGGGCCATGGGCCTCAGGGAACGACAGGAATGTTCGTTTTGTGAAGTTTGCCTTTCGATGATCGAGCTCCGCGCGCGACCAAAGACCGGAAAGCTGGTGCAACCTGCGAGGCAAAAGATGATGTTATATCATCCTCTTGCCTTTCACGGTCTTGAGTTCGATCATGCAGTCGAGTCTCGTTCAATCAGTTTGAGGCTGTCGTACCGCAAGACTTGAGCCGTCGGACAGCAGAGCACACATTTAATGCAAGGACGTTTACATCACAACGACTTGGTTCTGGTCCTGTCCAACCATTCTGATTTGGATCCTGAACGCAGAGGCCTGCACGATGTTGAACACGTGGACCAACCAGGATGCACGGGATTATAACCCATGACCTGAGATTGGAAACAAGAAGCGGGGCCACATGGAAGTAGCATCATAATTCGTTTGCCAAACACTCACAGACGTAAGAGAACCGACTGCTGATCTCTTCAATATCAGAAATGGTATGATGCCACCATTAGCATCCATGAGTATTTTCATGAAGGAGAGCACATCGTTCTGGTGCGCCAGGCCCGGCTTTATACGTGACGGTGGTAATTAGGCGCTCAAACATGCTGGCAACTGCATCGAGATATCTGTGGGGGCCTTGCTGACCACCGATATACTCAAAGTGATCCCACGGCCCCAACATATAGAAGAATCCAGTTGCAGGTCATGCCTGGCGCTCGTGTACTGCGACGATAGGGCGTGGTTTGTTGACCCGAGGAGCTCGGGAACACGTGAGTGCAAGATGATGGAGCGGACGTGTGAACCATATGGCACGGAGCACAGGATGCAGTTTATCGCAGCTTAAATCGAGTCTTCGGTTCAAGCATGACAGCATACCACCGGACATGATGTTCTTGGATCCAGCTACTCCGGAAACAACGTCATACACCACGTTGCAATGAGCTGCAAACCAGACAGCTGAAGGCAGAACACACAATGTTGAATACGACCGCCAGCTTTCAGAAATCAGCCATAGAGCTTGCGCAAGAATTCAAACTAACGCTCTCTGTCCCTCGATGCATGCTCTGGAACTCGAATGGGCCTCAAGCGAGATCATGGAAGGGTGTAGCATGGTGTAACAAATGCGAAGCTTGAAAGCTTTTGAATCAAGCGAGCCGTCACAAACTGCAGGGCTCGAGGTTCAATGTGTGGCAAACCGAAACCCTAAAAAGGTTCCGCTACCACAAAGCACACCCTGCGGGTGCTACTCCACTAGCATGTCACGAAAATGAAGCCGACAGCTGAAAGCACCCCACTGCCATAGGTTCCGCTACCACATATGGCACACCGCGAGCAAAAAACACACAGTCTCTCCAAGTATAATCTAAAGCTTCAAAGTGAACCTCGATCATCAACGCCTCCTCTTGGATGCCCAAGAAGCACTAGTCTATACAGAAGATCGAAACTGCCAAATGCTCAAGACTGCAGGATAGACAACGTGTGTGTTCTATAGCGTTGCGATTTGGTTCACATATACTCAACAAAAAAGCATATTCAACATCTAACCCATACTACATCCATAGGGGGGTTTAACACACATCAGAAGGCACAAATACGCAT